GCTGGCATCTATTACCCTATTAATTCTCTCAAGGTTCTTTCTTGTTTTCTTATTTCTAAGTTCTATTGTGAATCTTCTTGTTTTTTAGGCATACCCATTTAAGGATTTTGTTAATAATCAAATCTTGGGGTAGGTTATTGGTTGAGTTTTCACGTTTTAGCTGATAATGATTTGTAATTAAGGGTGTGTTTGGTATGGAGGAAATTTTTCAATTTTCTCATGTTTGGTTGGCTTAAATGTTTGGAAAATGTTTTTCAAATCAACTAATTTTTCCCAAATTTAAGAAAAATGACTTCTCTTTCAAAATTGAGGAAAACATGTTTCAAAACTCTACTTTATCATTTAGAGCCCATTTGAATTGGCTTAAAAAAGTAGTTTTTAAGTCAAAAATAAAAAATCAAACTGAAATGAATTGTAAGTCAAAAAATAAAAAGTAGGAGGAGACATACTTTTGGTTTCTGACTTATTTTAAGTCATTTTTTACCTTGCCAAATACTTCGTAACTTATTTTAAGTCATTTTTGACTTATTTTAAGTTACTTTTTATATTTGTCAAATACTTGCAGAAATCAAAAACTGACTTAAAAGTAGGTTTGACCAACTTTTAAGTCAATTCAAACACCCTCTTAATTATTTTATTCCTTGCCCAATCCATATCTCGTACCCGACCCTTCCCATTCAAAAAAAAATTAAAATTTTCTTATTTTTAAAATTTCAAATATATTTTTATCCCTACCACCAACCCACCTCCCCGACCCCTCCCCCCCTCAAAAAAAATTTAAAAATTATTTTTGAAAAATATTTCAAATTTTTAATTTTTTTTACCTCACCCAACCCCTACCAACCCTACTCCCTACCCCCCCCCCCCCCAAAACCCCCAAAAAAAATTATTTTTGAAAATATTTCAAATTTATTTTTTTATTTTTATTTTTTACGCCACTGCCCCCCTCCCCCAACAAGGCCACCACCCTTCCCCACCACCCCAGTCAATTTTTTCTTTAAAGAAAATAATTTTGGGAAATATTTCAAATTTAAATTTTTTTTATTTTTTAAACCCCCTACCCCCCCCCCCCCGCCACCCCAACTAATTTTTTTTAAAAAATCAAAAGTTGTTTTTGAAGAATATTGCAAATTTCAAAAAAAAAAACATTTTTTATGCCACCCTCACCCCACCCAGGCCATCCCCATCAAATTTTTTTTAAAAGAAATATTGTTTTTGGAAAATATTTCAAATTTTAAAAAAAATCATTTTTACTCCACCCCCTACCCCTACCCCCAACCCCTACCAGACCATTCCCGTAAAAAAAAAAATTAAGAAAAAACTGTTGTTGGGAAATATTTCAAATTTAAAAAAAAAATCATTTTTTATGCTACCCCCCTTTCCCCCCCCCCCCCCCCTCCCCGTCAATTTTTTTTAAAAAAATGGTTTTGGAAAAAAAAATCCTGGGTCGAAAGTCTGGTCAGAATTTGGGTCAACTCTCAGGATCGGATTTTTGAATGGTGAGGGTCTTGTCCTAGTTTGGGTGTCGGGGTCAGGTCTTAGATAAATTATCGGAGTTGATTTTCGAATCATAAATTATTTTCCTAAAGAGTATTTTTTAGTCTCAAGCCAAAAATAAAAGATATTTTCTAAAAAATATCTCTCATTCACCAACCAAATATTTTCGAGAAAATATTTTCTACTCACCAACCAAACATGAGAAAATAAATTAAAATCCACTTGTTTTCCAAGAAAACATTTTCCTTTCATACCAAACACACCCTAAGTGTTACTGGAAGTCTGGATTTTATTTTTAGGCATGATATGTAAATAGACACTTAAACTTGAGCTCTGCTAGCCAAGTAATCACTTTAGACAACTTAACTTGTCTCCATTGTATTAGTTGAACACTAGAACTTATAAAATGATCATTTAGATACCTCCATAATTCATGTGTCACGTTAGCATTGAGTGTCCACTAGAAATAGTGAGGACGAGTTGAAGTGTTTGGTTGCCAATTGAGATTAAGTTTAGGTGTTTAGACGTGCACTTTCAAAGTTGGAGTGTTTACTTGCAGAGGTCTATGGGTCTAGTTTAAACCATTCATCAATCCGACATCCGAGAAAGTTATGCATGTTTTAAGAAAATTCTGTCAGTGAACTTTCCAGTTACGGCAAGGAAAGCTGAGGCTTAGTTTTAGTGTTTGTCTATGTATTATGTCTTATTTTTATGAATACCCCATTTAGCATTTGCTTAAAGTTTGAATTATGATACTGCTATTATTCGAGTTTCTTGTTTCTTTATGCTGATAAGGACTATATTCCCTACTAAGAGTAACTGGAAGTTTCAATTTTTATACTGCTAGTCAATCCAGTTTGTTGTGTTTTGTCTTTCTAATAACCATGTTGTTCGAGCTAAAGTTTGGATTTTGATACTGCCAATCAATCCAGTTTCTTGTATTCTTCTACTGTAATCTTGCTTCAGAAGTCAGAACATTCCCAATCAAGATTGAATTGAAAGTTTGAATTTGATTCTGCTAATCAGTCAGGTTTCTTGTCTATGGCTTTAATGTTGCTTCTATAGTTACTGAGTAAGCATGAATGGGAACTTTGAATTTTTATACAGTTAATAATCAAGTGAGTATTTCCTGCTATTTGGAAGACGAGAAATAAGAGGTATCTCTTTAGCTTTAGTGGTGAAAGTTGAGTGTCTAACTAACTGGGAATACAATTGGATGCAACATGGAGAATTGTTCTACAAGTATTGCAAGGACCATGAAATTCCAGACAAGTAGATAGGCAAGCTAATGGTTGCTACTGGATTATCAGAGGTTCCAAGGTTGAGCGCTCTCATGACTCGAGGAATTCAAAATGGGGTTGAGGGTCTGAGAATGATGGAGGGGCATGAAGCTACTACACTGGAACCCGAATTGCAATGTTTTATTAAAGCTTTATGGTTGCCTTCCTCGGGAATAGTGGATAGTCATTCCTTGATGCTATCATTGGTGGTAATGCTTCTCATCATTCAGTTATATTATGTCATATTGATTGTTTGCTAATCAACATCCAAAGAGCTCATTTTTTTTAGAACATTGGGGAAAAAACTCTCTTTACTTGGAAGAGCTTGATTTATCTCTATTTGTTTACCTTTATAGAATCATTGATGTAATATTGACAGGACTGACCATACCATGGGTTTAGGGCGAAGCTGAAAGTCATGGGACGACTTTTTCTTACAATACTGCTGTTATTGGTGGTCATATTGAAGGAAATCAAATTCAAATTCATGTTTTTGAGAGCAATGTCATTGCAAGCTGGAATGGGAGCTCTGAATTGGACTCTGAACTAATTCTTATTCCCAAGGTTGTAGTGAATTCTGCAGGTTTAAGCGCTCCAGCCATTGCAAAACGAATGAAAGGTCTACCTGACGGTATTATACCTGCTTCTCATTATGCTTGTGGTTGCTACTTCACACTTTCAAACACGAAATCCCCTTTCAAGCACTTGATTTATCCTATACCTGAGGTTGGTGGCCTTGGAGTGCATGTTTCCTTGGATTTGAATGGCCAAATCAAGTTTGGTCCTGATGTCGAATGGATAAAAGGAATTGATGATATTCCGAGCTTCCTCAACATGTAAGTTCTCATTGATAATGTAAATTTTTGCATATTGAAGGTTGGAAAACATGTTCTCATTTTCATCGTGAAATGCAATTAGCAGATGTTGGTAAGTCTATCTCTATACATTGCACATGGTAATAACATTAGTACATCACAAATGAACTGTAAAAACAAGGGAAAGCCCACGTTTCTTCATTGCGCTCCATGCTGTTAGCAGGGGTGGATTAGTTGTTCCGTTGTTCCTAACATAGTTGTTTCACTTCCTGAAAGTTCAATAATACAGAAAAAATTGCAAAAAAACCTCACTGACATCTCATATGATAAGTAAAAGCAAGGTAGATCTAGAAAGCAACACATGAAGAGCTAGCTCCGGCACATTTTACATTTAACATGTACTAAACACAAGCTGGCCTTATTTGAGCAAAGAGACGAGCTCCATTTCCCAACATTTGAAAAATATCAAAGGTGCTTCAGTTCACGTTCTAAATAGTGAAGATGAACAAAAATAAGGTAGTTAAGTAATCTCAAGTCTAGACTGCATGAAAGCGGTGCACAAATGGTTTGGCGTAGTCTATTTAAAAATAGCAAAAGAAAATAAAAACTTAAGAAAGGGTCACAAGATATACTCATGTTGATCCCCATGTAACATATTGACCCGCCCAAAATGGGTATTTTGATTCAGAGCTGGAGCACTTCACAGAAAGCATGACCCTCCACAGCTTCATCAAATCTAACTCGCAAGAATTTCCACACACAAACCTTTTGGCTTTTCAACATTTGTCCCTCGTATTGTTTCCACAAAATGTACAATTAAAGTTACCTCAGTTACGACTCATTTCACCCCTCTTATTGTTCCCTCAGTTACTGAGTAAACATTTGTCCCTCGTATTGTTCCCTCAAATTAGTGTCAGACAAAGGATTGAAATCAACAAAGTGAACCACAAGAATTAGTTAATCCATATGTACCAAATTCTTGAAATGATTTTCCTAAAAGGATTAGCAAAATTTCCTTGTTAGTACATACTCAGCTACATTGACTTCGATCAGAAGTCACACAATCATGCTAGTACATTGATATCAGACAAAATAGACCTTCCGTAAAATGCATTAAACAAGGCTATTAATTTCTTACTTGGTAATACATCACCATAGCACTTGAGAGTTCTTAGAAAAGTCAAGTTACAGATACAATTTGCTACACTATTTGGCAACAAGATAGAGAATTCTTTATAGCAGGGACACATCTTATTTAAAATAACAAAGACGAAAAGAGTTGAACTTCAGTAATTAGAAGACAGCATCATCTTAAACAAAGATTTAAATCCGTCTTTTTCCCTATTAAGTTTCACCTAAGAAGACAAGTAAAAGTACACCCGAGATCAAACACCTACCCCAGCAAGGATTAGGCACATTCTGCTGCCATTATTTCCATGTCCCTGGTCCTCTTTATGATTACTCCATCTAGAGGCAAAATAGACTTGGTCAAGAGCACCAAAATTAGTCCAGAAGAAAAATATAGATAGTAGGTAGACCGTAAGACCTGAAGAAAAATACAGCTAGTAACTAGGAACAAGGACAAAATCAATAGTAGTCTAGAAGAAAATAAACAGTTAGCTACCTATTAGCAGCAGCAAGAAAAGCCAAAATCAGATACTAGGTAGACCGTAATACCCATTCCAGAAGTTTATCTTTTTGCCTTATTAAGTTTAACCTATAAAGCATTAATTAAAGAAGCCCCTAGATCAAACAATAACCCTGGGGTGCATTCACATCTTAAACAAAGCTTTAGATCCCAATCGATTTCTCTAGATTCCCCTGTTCATTGGTATCTCCAATCTACTCGCGTGATCATAACAACTTAACGTGTTTCCTCAACAGCCTTCTCCTTCCAACCCACTTCATGTCAACTTTAGTACCAAACTGAAAGAAGATTCACATTGACTAAATATGTAACAGAATGAAAAGATAGTCCTTGAGATAATTAACAGTAAAATATAAGCAGCAAGGAAAAGGACCAAACTAGATAGTATATCTTACTTTAACTCTTATTCAGTAATTCCCGTATTTCGTCTTTTCCCTATTTAAGTTTCACCTAAGAAGACAATTAAAAATAAGCCCGAGATCAAACACTACCCTAGCAAGGTACTCCCTTATAAAGTGGCTCAAGAACACCAAAACAAGTCAAGAAGAAACATACAGATAGTAGGTAGACCGTAATACCTGAAGAAAAACACAGCTAGTAACTACGACTGTAGGAGCAAGGACAAAATCAAAACTGGTCCAGAAGAAAATAAACAGTTAGCTACCTATTAGCAGAAGCATGAAAAGCCAAAAGCAGATACTATGCAGACCGTAATACCTATTCCAGAAGTACCGATTTTGCTCTTTTTGCCTTATAAAGTTTCACCTATAAAAGATTAATTAAAGAAGCCCCTAGATCAAACAATAACCCTGGGAAGGACCTCAGCATTATCGGTGCATTCACATGCCACAAGTTCTATGTTCCTGGTGCTCTTTAATTTTTACTCTGTCTAGAGGCATAACATTCCTTTAAAACACTGTGGAACAAGAGAAAAGATGTCTAACATCACTTAGTTCATAGTCGAAGACAAATTTATTGTTCCTTGAAAATAGTGCATAAAGGGAAAATGACTAACAAAATCTCCAAGCAATACGGTTTAAAGATGTCCTTTTATATGACTTGTCTTGTTCTATATGTGAAATAACAATCAGAATTTAACAGAACTTGAGAAAAAAAGTACTCTTACAAGTTATTTGTTACTCGGTTTTCTTGATCTGAGCTTTTTCAGCCTTTTGTCTTTTGTTGCATCCGTAACACCATATCTAGAAAAAGGACAAACTAGACTTTCAACATAGAGTGCTACCTTAGGATAGTCATAAAAGTTGATAGCCTTTGAATATCTTAATGAAGCATCCTTCGGGTTGCATATCACAGAAGCTGAAATAAACACGACCAAAATTTCACCTTTATTTGAAATGAAAGAAGGCCAAGAAAGTGCATGACCATACCCAACTAGATGATCAGGATAATTGATGGTAAACATTTTTGTCCAAGATTCTTTAACCCCATACTCTTTCATGACCCAAACATCTACATGAGAGCTACTATAATCACAAAAAACAGAAAGATCACTTCCTAACACTCCCAGGATCAAAGCAATATCTCCCTCTCTATAGCAAGGATGCTCCACTTCTCCCCATTTCTCATTAGCCAAATCAAAAGAAATGATATTCCAATCCTTGTAGTTAATAATTAGATGATCAACAGTAGCTGTAGGCCAGTGAAGTTTCCCCTTCACAAACTTACCTGAAACATTATCTATTTAATACTTTCTTCTATCTACTTAATTAATTTAAAAGGCGACCCGCCGCGCCGGATTTCGTCCTGACTTTGACGATCATCAACACTTCCCCAAGAATCACTATTTAAACTATATATTTTGAGCCCACCTAGACCGGATTTGTCATCACTACAAAAGCCATCCACTAGCTTATAGTCATCATGAAACTCATCATATCCAAAACCATAAATTCGCCCTTGTTCAAACCACATTGTAGATGTAGGATCAGGCAATTTCTTGTACTTTCTATTTGATGGATTCCATAGAAACAAATCATATCTCTCACCCACAAGACAAATCAATCCATTTACGGAACCTAGAATCATCACAGAGTGAGGCCATTCGTTATACAATCCATCAGATATCATGCGATAATTCAAGTCAAATACCTCCGTAACAGACTCAGAAAATAAAGAACTAAGAGTATAATCTTTAAGATCTAATGTACCTCTAAAACTACGCATCACCCTGTGGTGAGTGTAATCTTTGTTATTAGCAGATACACTAAGATGGCTCTTGACAAATTCAGGGCTAGAGATCAGCCAAGACTTCGAAACAGACCTGAATTTCAAAAGGGGTTCCACTGGAAGCCTTAAGAGGATTTCAGTGATGAGTTCTTCTGGAAGAACAGGAATTGTCAAGAAGGAATCTTTCTCTGAAGTTGAAGAAAATTGAGCTTGTTTTGTAGGTCTACTCCATTTTGGGGGTTGATGGGTGTCTTCATCTCCCTCAGATTCCATTTGGGTTTCCACAAACTTGAGCTCCGTATGCTTACCGAGACTGAAATTTTCCCAAAGTGTACTAGTCACAGCTGCTGTGGAGTGTTTTTTCAACAATATATTTTAACCCTATAGAGGATGACAACCTTTTGGGCTTTAATTTTGATTTAAAATATTTTTACTCGTTTTTGGAAAAAAAATATTTTCAAAAAGTAAAACCTATATATATATAGAGAGAAAAAGCTCGAAATAGTCCTTTCATCTTTGAATGTAGAATCAAAGTAATCCTTGTCTTTTAACATGAAGCATTAATAGTCCTTCATGTTTCAACAATTGGCGCATATTTAGTACTCCCCTAAACAATCGTCTAATTTTTTACGGCACTTTTCTTTGCACGTGAGAAATGCTTTCTGAACTCAAACCTTCCCTGCTTCGTTCTCCTTCAAATAGTATCAGTACCTAATTTATCCACCATAGCTCTGTTTCTTTCATCTATTTGCATAAATGAAACAAACCAAGAAGTAATATTCAATATGTCAGCGGTGTTTCAATGATTTTGAGGAATGCCTTTTTTTTTGTTGATCTCCTTCAATGGAAGTCTCAGGCAGAAGAAAAATTCTCCATTTGCAAAGCATTTTTCATCATTATTGATATATGTGTATCTATAAGCAAGGTTTTTGCACACCAGATATTCGACCAATTGTCACATTGATCATTTTGATTGTCCCAATTATGACATATACATGCTAAACATCAGTGAGCTCGAAGACAATTAGAGGCACGCGATAATCTAGAAGAGAAAAGATCGAGGCAGATTCAAGCTCTACCTAGCGGAAGTTTATCAAATGCAAGTTTTGATAGAATCTGAGATAAGAGGCGGAAAAAATAAGCCAAGAGTAGTTGAGATCAAATAATTAAAAAACGGGTGTTTCGAAATGCAATCACATGTTGACATAGTATAGAATAATGTATCTTTTTATTTTACAATGTAATGAATTTTGCTATGGAGCAAATATGATGTATATTTGGTTTCAATTTGTTTGGTCCCTTGAATCTTCACAAAGAAATTTCCATATTTCAAATCAGAATTGCATCATATTTGCACTAAAATTGCACCAAAACAACAATAGAAAAGCACCCAAACTGCATTAGAAATTCACCAAAACTGCACTAGTAAAGCACCAAAACAGCACCAGAAATGAACCATACCTGCAGCTCCTAATTTGCACTAAAACTACACTAGAATTGAACCACAAACAATAGCAGATTCGCACAAAAAACTACACCAGAAAAAAATTTGAAAAACAATAACAAAATATAGTTTCTACTTGAAAAACAAGAGGTGATCTATTTTTTTGTAAAAAAAAAAACTGATCTTTAAAATGTAACTGCATTTTGTTGGATTGGTAGTATTTTTTCTTGTCCAACTTCAACATATCTCGTCCACATGTTGAATTATTCCGTCGTCGATCGAGTTTGTTCTAGGTTGCTATTTTCATCTTTCTCTTCTTCTTTTTCTATCACTCAAACTTGGTTCATTGTAGGAAGTGAGAGACAGGGGAAACAGAGATTCAGTTTTGAGGGGAAAACTTCTCACGTGGACTGTTCCGTTAAATATTAGACAGTTGTTTGATGAAGTATTAAAAGTGTACCAATTCTAGAAACATGGAGGACTATTAGTGCTCCATGTTAAAAGATAAGGATTATTTTGATTCTAAACTCAAAGATGAAGGATAATTTTGAGCCTTTCCTCATATATATATAAAGCTGAATATAAACTCTCAATGGTCATCATTTTTATTTATTTATTTTCTTCTTTTTAAAATATTTTTAATTTATTTTTATACCTAATCTACTAATTAAATAAACTAATAAAAGACTCATCCAATAAATACATAATCAAGTCGTGTAGTAATCAAGAATGATTTATGACCTCTCTTAATTCATCATTAAAGACTGAATAATGAAAGAATATTATTGTAAACAAATGTCCAAATGTTTTTACTTATTTAAAACCTTCACAAAAAAATATCAATGTTAAAATTAATCCTTACCATGTATAATAAGAAAAATCTCTTTATTTTTATCAGTTACAACATAATAATTCTGCATTTTTTAATTATAGAATTTGAAAGGTACCATTAAAATGAGAAAACAACTATATAAACAAAATATATTCACTAGCTCAGTTTTTTCATGAATCAATATAAACTTTATGCAGTATAAATTTGCAAAAGTAGGTAGAATAGAAAGAATGAGTCCAAGAGAAAAGACCATAGCGATTCAAGATTATTTTATAATCTCAATGCATGATCAATACTACTATCTTGCGTTCTTGTAGTAATGTTGGATCAGGATAACTTTTCATTGATCACCTTTTAAGATACCAAACACCATTTACGTGATATAACAACAGGAATCATCGGGCCACTGCTTATTACAAATGAAATTAGTGTATATTATTTACTGCTTTCATTGTTTTACTGAGTTTTACCAAGTCTAGGTGTTTTTTCCTATATTTTTGGGATAGGCTAGAGTCAATAACAAAGTATGTCAGTACTTTGATATGGGAATAGTTTCTGCACCTTTTTAAGAGTCAAGTTATACTACTTTTAGGAGTCAGTTATAGCTTTAGAGTTTAGTTTATAAATTTCTCTTTTCTACTGTATTTTCATTATAAGCTTTTAATAAAAAGGTTTAGTTATTCTCTGGATCGTTTGCTTCTTCTCATCATTTCAATAAGAATTTTCTATTCAACTCTTTGTTTTATGGTAGAGCCAGGTTGGAATTCTTCAATCTCTGTTGTTGTTCTGTGAGAAAATTCTTGTTGTGTAATATGGATCAATTTAATGGGGGAAGTGGTGCAAATTCATAGCATGGTGTTGAGAAACTTGTAGGAACTAACTACAACTATTGAAGGATATGTATGGAGGTTTATCTTCAAGGTCAAGACTTGTGGGAACTGATAGCTAGTTCAGATACAAAATTTCCAGCAGATGCTCCTGATAATATTGAACCACGTAGAAAATGGAATATCAAGTGCGGAAAGGCTCTATTTGCGTTAAGGATGTCGATTAGCAAAGAGTTTATTGATCATGTCTGTGATATTGGTTCTCCACAACAAGTCTGGGAAACTCTTGAAAGGTTATTTTCCAAGAAGAATACAACAAGATTACAATTCTTGAAAAATGAATTAGCAATGATGATGCAAGGAACCATGTCAATTTCAGAATACTTCTTGCGAGTGAAGAATATTTGCGTTGAAATTTCTGAACTAGATGCAACCGAGAAGATTAGTGTAGCCCATTTTAAGGAGATTTCTTATTCATGGTTTAAATAAGGAGTATACACCATTTGTCACCTCCATTCAAGGATGGGCACAACAACCATCGGTTGAAGAACTGGAAAATTTGGTGTCTAATCAAGAAGCTTTGGCTAAACAAATGGCCAAAAATTTCAATTCTGAACATGGAGCTGTTCTTTTTTCAAAAGGAAAGTTAAATGAGGACGATCTAGAGGAAGGTTACTGGTAATAGTTCACAAGGATACAAATCAATCAGGTGTCATAGGTGTGGAAAGATTGGACATATTTAAAGATATTGTCGTGTTAAGATCTCCAAAGCAAATGTTGCTTGTGAAAATGAAGCACTTCCCAAGTTCATTGAATTTAGCACCATTGTAGAAAAGGAGTTTGGGCAAAAAATAAAGTGTTTGAGGAGTGACAATGGTGGTGAATTGATGTCAACAAAGTTCATTCAAATTTTTTTTGTGAAGAAAATGGCATTCAAAGACAAATGACATGTCCCAATACCCCTAAACAAAACGAGGTTGCAGAGAGAAAGTTGGCACATCTTGTTGGGTTCGAAAGTGACTAGAGCGTCATGCGAAAGCTTACAATTGCATATCATATGGTTGATAAATCAGATGACAAATAAAACTATACTAAAAGACATAATATTATTATATGATATGACCAATTGGCCTACATAATTAAAAACTAATTAAAAGCATAAAAACTGTAAAGAGAAAATCTCCACATAAACAAAAGTCTCTAAATGACTACATTGTGGAATCTATTGTGTTCTTGATATGAGAAGAGAGGCTTTCAATTTAAAGAGTTCCAAAATTTTCCTCCAAGGAAAGAATAACTCAAATATGGAAGAATATTATATTTTTCTTTCAGGAAAAGTAAGAACATTTATGGTAATGTTTTGTCTTTTCTTTTTTAAAAAAATAAAGTTTAAATAAGGTAAGAAAATCAAGGCAAAACCCTAACAAATCTCCCCTTTTGACTGGATTTTCTTGATATCACTGCTACTTACCATAATTTAAAATTGATATGGGTTAAGAAATTGGATCCCTGTGTTAAAAGTTATGAACATGGTTGAAAGTAGAGTTCATGCGTTAAAAATAATATGCATGAGTTGAAAGTGGAGCTCATGCGTTAAAAGTAAGATGCATGAGTTAAAAGTGGAGCTCATGCATTAAAAGTAAGATGCAAGAGTTAAAAATAGAGCCCGAGCATTAAAAGTTTGTTGGAGTTGAAAGTTGATTTTGTTTTTAAGGATAGAGCAGCATGATTGTTGAAAATATATTTAAAAATTTATCCACATGTAGTAGCACAAAAATCTTCATTATCATCAAATTTGTTGCAAATTAATTTGAAACCACTTGAATTTGTCTTCACTCTTGTTCGACCATTGGATTATTGAACCATGTGCTCTGATACCACTTGTTGGGTTCGAAAATGATTATGGCATCATGCAGAAGCTTACAATTGCATATCATACGGTTGATAAATCATATGAGAAATAAAACTATACTAAAAGACATAATATTATTATATGATATGACCAAATGGCCTACATAATTAAAACTAATTAAAAGCATAAAAATTGTGAAGAGAAAATCTCCCATAAACAAAAGTCTCTAAACGATTACATTGTGGATTCTATTGTGTTCTTGATATGAGATGAGGGGCTTACAATTTATAAAGCCCCAATTTTTTCTTCCAAGGAAAG